AAAAAAAAAAAAGGCAGAGGTCAGTGACCTGATTGTGCATGCTGGCCTCTCTGTCTGCGCGGCCCAGCTCATGTCAGAGCTTAGGTGAAATCTTTAGTTTTTTGCCACCAAGGATTGCCAAGCTCCAATCCTTGGCAGCAGATCTGGAGAACCCATGAACGGTGGTGTGGGGTACAGCACATGGCTTGCCCTCACAACCAAAGTTGGTCACTCACAGCTTCCAGAAGCTCTAGAGACATGTCACTTCCACAATTTGGGAAATAGCAGCAAAGAAAAGCAGAGCCCTCACCTGTGACAGATCCTTGGCAAAGAACTCTGCATCGGTGCCTGGGATGGCATCATCGAGCATCTCCCAGCGCTCCCCGACGCGGAACTCCATGATGTAGCGGTCAATGGGAAAGCTGTGGTTGGCAGGCGGGAGCCAGGACAAGAGCACACCCTGCTGAGTCCGATTGGCTATGAGGCACCTTGGTGGGGTGACCAGCACCAGGGGTTCTGGAGTTGTGATAGGGAATGCTGCAGTGGGGAAAGGAAAGAGGGTGATGGCGTCGCGAGCGCCAAGATCACCACACCCCTGCATGCTCCTACCCTCAGCATTTCAGGTGCAAGAGGGGAAGGAGGTCAAGGCCAGTGACCCCAGAGCTTCATGATTCTGCCTTCAGAGTTCTGCTAAAGAACATGATGAGAGAGTCAAGAATCTCAAAAGCGGGAAAAATGGGCCAGGCGCAGTGGCTCATACTTATAATCCCAGCACTCTGGGAGGCCAAGGTGGTGGATCACTTGAGCTCCAGAGTTCCAGACCAGCCTGAGCAAGAGCAAGACCCTATCTCTACTAAAAATAGAAAAACCAGGCTCAGCACCTGTGGCTCAAGTGGCTAAAGCGCCAGCTACATACACCTAAGGTGGCAGGTTTGAATCCAGCCCGGGCCCGCCAAAACAACAATGACGGCTGCAACCAAAAAACAGCCGGGCATCGTGGTGGGTGCCTGTGGTCCCAGCTACTTGGGAGGCTGAGGCAGGAGACTCACTTGAGCCCAGGAGTTGGAGGTTGCTGTGAGCTGTGATGCCACAGCACTCTACCCAGGGGGACAGCTTGAGGCTCTGTCTCAAAAAAAAAAAAAAAAAAAAAACTAGCCAGGAGAGTGGCAGGCACCTGCAGACCCAGCTACTCAGGAGGCTGAAGTTGCTGTGAGCTATGACACCACAGCACTCTATCAGGGCGATAGAATGAGACTCTGTCTCAAAAATAATTTTTTAAAAAGGGGGGAGGGGCAGGGCCTGTGGCTCAAAGGAGTAGGGCGCCAGCCCCATATGCCGGAGGTGACGGGTTCAAACCCAGCCCCAGCCAAAAAAAAGGGGGGGTGTGGGGGAAGATGGGAACAAGAAGGAAAGAGGAAGAATGCCAGGTAATCAAAGGATCGTTTGTGCTCTTCCAAGAAGCTGGGCAACTCTTCTCACAGGATGCTGGTCACTCTCAAGTCCCTTCCTGGCCCACGGGGACAAAAGGAGGCCCAGCAGAGTCACTGAGAGCTGGGGTGGACATTCCTCCCTGCAGCCCCCACGGCAGCTATTGAGGAGAAGAGTCTGGGCACAGGCGGCTTTGTGCCGCCCACTCCACCTGGGAAGAGCCTGCTCACAGCAGCCCTCTCGCCCACCTCAGAGGACTGTGCCAGGCAGGGAGAGTGAGCAACTGGGTCCAGGAAGGAAGAGCTGGCGTGTACTAGAAGGCTCCACAGCTTGAGTCGGCCACAAGCCTGCCGCCTGCACGGGGCTGGGGCCAAAGGAGAGAACCGACAGGCAGGGCTCAGGAGGACGGAGGAAGGAGTCCCGATCTCCCCTGTGAGGCCTTGTTGCTAACATGTGGTTCACCAGGAAGGGCAAAATGCTAAGCCTCTTTCTTTCATCTAGAAACACAACAGGGATCTGGCCAACCGTGTTCTGAGGTGAGACCAGGCAAACCCCACAGAAGAGCATGACAAATCCATCCTGGAAGATCAAATGTCATGATTACACGAAATACTTAGCAAAGTGCCTGGTATGCAGCAGGCCACACACGCCCCCTGCTTGGGTCACCTGCCTCCTCACCGTCACTATCCCAGCTCCTCCAGGAAATATGCTGGAGACACCCCAGGCCCAGGGCCCTCACCTAAAGTGTTCACAGTGACCACCTCACTGAAGGCGCTGGTTCCCAGCTTGTTCTGGGCCAGGACGCTGAACTGGTAGGCTGTCTCAGGCTCCAGAGTGTCCACCAGCAGCCAGCTGGGTCCCGGTGGCACTAACAAGGACAGCCAGTCGTGGGGCCCAAACTGTGCCCGCTTCGTCCTGGCCAAAACAAAGACAGGGCAGGAGACAAGGGGTGGGGTGGGTTACACTGGAGAGAGGAGAGTACAAGCAAGGTCGTCATGGAGAAGGCAGGGGGTGGGTGGGGCGTTCCCAGGTTCAAGGGCAGGAAGAGGGGATGACCAAGGAGCGAGACCTGCCCGGCTGTGGCTGTGCCAGTCCTCATGGTGCCAAGTCACTAGCCATGGCTGGGACCTCGTCCCCTGTAAGGGGCCCTGAGGGCTGAGTCATGCTTATGATGCTCATCATGAGACCAGCTGCATTGTGGGAGAACCCCACCCTGGGCATAACCCTGAAGGTGGAAGGGGGTAAGAACACTAGAAAGTGGGGAAGAACAACTCAGCAATGGCAGGACTAGGGAAGGAACCCAGGTAGCTTGGCTTCTACCCCTTCCCACCAGAGACCACAAAAAATGGGACCCAGGGTAACCCAGTGGCTCACTGAGTCCAGTTAGATTTGGGTCATCTAAGGATATCCAGGGCATATGACAAAATGCCCGGGGTCTCCCCACAGTGGGACCAGGATCCCTAAGGTTTAGGAGTTAGAAATCGCAATCAAGGGCAAGGTCACAGCAGGTGGAGAGTACTGAAACCCGGGTGAGGGCTTTCCCTGGCTCTATGCATCCAACTCCCAACAAGCAATAAAGCCTGCGGCGGCAGTTGCAGTTCCACGACGTCGCCGCCAGGGGGAGACGTAGTCCTGCGGGAGCGGCCCGGCGTTTGCAGCCCTGCGCTGTAAGGCAGAGGATGCCCACCGGGTTTCCCTTTGGGTGTACAGGTTTGCTGCCGTGTATGCCCAGGAGGGTGAGCTGAGGCAGCGGAAAGCACAGCAAAAAGAAGCTAGTGCCAAATGCCTGAGTCAGTACACGGAGCGTTAGAGGCAGTCAGAAAGAAAGGCGGGAAGGGGACCTCCGCAACCTTGGCACCTGCCCTTCCCAGCCAGAGCACTAAAGCAGTGGGCAATACGCAGTGAAGCGATGCAGATGTGCAGCAGCGTGGGGCGCGCCACAAGCAGCAAGGGAGCCCCTCGCCTGCACCCATACCTGCCTCAGGCGCATCCCCAAAGACATCTGGGCCAAGCCAAGTGCCCCTCCCCCAGCCATGCAGCCGCCAAGCAGCACCACAGTCTTGCAATAGCCACCAGGCAGGCTTGTTAGGTGCCCTCCCACCCCTGCCACGGGAGGAATAAAGATGAGGGCAAGGGAGGGTGTTCTGGCTTCAACTCCCCCCTCCAGGTGCAGCTCACCTATCCAGAACTCAACATGCCAAGGACTTTCCGCCCAGTTTAAACCACCATGACAGGGTAGGTTCCCTTCTCAACTTCCCTTGCTGTTGGGAGTGTATCAGCGGTTCTGAATCCCTCTCCCATTCCAGAGTTCCCCTCTAGAGTCTGACTTCCCTTCCTCCCCAGGCTCTGGCTGAGCCTGGCTGGAAGCACAGCCCAGGAGATAGAAGTCTGAACAAAGGAAGCAAGGGGGCTTGTCATCCCTGCTCAAGGACGTCACCCACGAGGCAGATGGCCACAGTTCTTGGCTTAGGACATGAGTGTGGGGAGAGAACATCCCTAGGGTGATGAGAGGAGGTCAGCTGGGCCTCTTTCCTCCTTTCCTGGGCCTCCTGCTCCCTCCCAGACTGGTGCATTTTAGAGATTTCTGTCTCTTCTAAGGTTTGGGCAAAGCTCCCAAATCACTGCATCTGGCTAAATTAACAAGAGAAGGACAAGTAGTAGAGAAACACACGGTCCTAGAGAGAAAAACACAGAAGCTGAACACAGGCCGAGAAGGTGAGCACACTCCTCCACACTGGCCTCTGGGACCACTGGGGAAGGGAGAGAATAAAAATTAGATTCTACCCTTCAGGCTCGGCTATTTCACAAAGTGCTTAAGGTGGAAGCTAGAGGAACATAAAACTTAGGGCAGGGACAGCCCGGAGAGGCCGCAGAGAGTCTTGCATGACTTGGGCCACCTCAACCCGCAGGGCTGGGGACAAGGCAGCCCAGAGGGCCTTACAGACTGCCGCCATCACCTGTAAGAACTGGTCACTGCCTTGGCCCACTTCGCCATTGTAGGTCTGGCCGAGGAGCCACATCCCCTAGCCTCCCCCAACCCTGGACTGCCTGCAGTCGGGGTGGGGAGAGGGAGAAGCAGAAAGCAAAGCGTGCGGGGCTGACTCACAGAGGTCCGTACCAAACTGAGAATGTCTGCTCATATCCTCCGTCATAGCCGGGCTCCCAGGACACATTGGCAGTTGTCATGGAGACGTGGACCCGGACACTGCCTGGGGCATGGGGGCTGGTGCCTAGAAACCAAGTGGGGACCTCTCAGACTGAAAAGAACTGAGCCCATGGTTCCAGGTGCCCACAGCTCACTGCGGGAGCCCCAGAGAGGCCGTGGCCTGTGGCAGCAGAATGCAGTACTGTGGGAGACGTGACTAGGGACAAGGGGACACTCTTAGGTGCTGGCTCCCTGAAGCTACTGGTGAGTAGAGTTGGAGAGGGAAGCCTGTCCACTGTGTGGTCTGGTCCTACTAGCAGATCATGAGCATCAGGGATATGGGCCAAAGAGAAACCAGAACACTCCTCATCCCAGACCAAAATCCTGAGATCCTTGGCAAGCACAGAAACACTGGCCTCTACAGTCATAGGCAAAGCCAGAAAGTCCCGTCTCCTATAAAGCTCTGTGGCCTCACAAGATAGCCTATCCCACCTGACCACTGGTGTGAGTGGTAGCTTGACACAGCAGTTAAGAAATTCAACTCGGAGGCTCGGCGCCTGTAGCTCAGCAGCTAGCGATGCCAGCCACATACACAGGAGCTGGTGGGTTCAAATCCAGCCAGGGCCAACTACAACCAAAAATTAGCCAGGCGTTGTGGCGGGCACCTGTACTCCCAGCTACTTGGGAGGCTGAGGCAAGAAACTTTGTGTTTGAGGTTGCTATGAGCTATGATGCCACAGCACTCTACTGAGGGCAACATAGTGAAACTTCATCTCAAAAAAAAAAAAAAAAAAAAGCAATTCAACTCAGGCTTGAGTCCTAGACCCAGGACTTATTAGTAATGAGACCCAGGGAAGGGGGTCCAGCCACGCCAAAATGAGGGAACCCCAGCGCCCAGAACTGTGGATGATGAGGTAGGCAGAACCCTGGTAGGTACACAGCCTAAGGCCGCTGGTAACAGCTCAAAAGTGTTGGCTACGGTTACAATTATAGCTGCCAGGACTCAAAGGGACAGACTACAAGAGCAGGCGAGGTCTTGGGGGTCCCCTACCTCAGGCCATCAAAAATAAGAACCCCAGAGAAAGACATCCCCCTGCCCCAACCTTGGGTCTCAGGTCTTTTCTATGTCGGGGAAGGGTGGTTGCTGGGTACACTCAGCTTGTCCCCATCAGAAAAAGACTTCCCCAAGGACAAGATGCCAGCTGATCTTCCCTCACAGAGCCTGTTAGACTCTGAGCTCAGTGGCTGGCCTGAGTTAGGAAAGTCACTGCAGAGGGCAGCCACCCAGCCCCGGCCCCCACCAGCCGCTCTCTGCCCTGCTGTCCAGCCCCACCCAGCCCCACCAGCCAAGTACCAATGACAGTGAGGTGGGTGCTGGCAGTGATGCTCGTGACCACGTTGGTGGCGACACATTCCCACTCCCCGTGGTCCTCCTTACTCAGGGCGCGAAACTGGAGACTCCCACTGGGCAGGACGTTGTGCTTGCTTCTGCTGGGCTTCCCTACCTTGGCCAAACAAGGGGGCAGGGAGAGGATTGGGACAGAAAGGAAGGTGAGGAAGGAAGCCACCAACCTGGACACTGCCCCGCACAGATCCAGAACAAAACTAGTCACCAGGTCCCCACCTCCCCCACGGCCCCAGGAATTCCAGAGCCCAGGTACCTTTCTCCACGTGATGACAGGGAAGGGATCCCCTGCGGCTGCACAGGGGATGAGCAGCTCCCGGCCGGCCTCCTGCCTGTACTCCCAGCCTGGTAGCACCGTGAAGTACGGGGGGTCCTGCAGGGGGCACAGGCATATACATGAAGCCAGGGGTTCAGGTGCCCGCCCTCATGCTGGCCACCCACAACCCTGGGGCCTCACCTTCAGGACAAGCCTTGCAGGAGCAGACTGGCCCATGGTCCCCAAGGTGTTGTAAGGCACACAGGTATAAGTGCCAAGGGCCTCTTCTGTGGCCTCCTCGATTCGAATGGAGCCATCTTCCATCAAGGTCCAACCTAAGTTCTGCCGGCCAGACAACAAAGCAGGGACGGCTGGTCAGGGAACGGGCACTGAGTCCCGCTCCCCTCCAGGTGGGATCTGAGCTGGGCAGACAATGCTGGACAGAGCCCCAGCTATAGCAGGGTGGGAACTGTCTGCACGTCCTAGGAGAACAGCAAAGCTCCTGCCATACTACACACCCCCAGAGAAGCAGCTCTTTGTCTCTGCAGAGACTTTAGAGGAGGCAGGGAAGTCCTAGCAGAAAACCTGACCCTAGAGGCAACATCTGGAGGTCAGGAGGGGCCTCTCTTTCTGAAACCCCACGTGCGTCTCTCTAGCACCTTCTCAACCTGCAGGGGGCGCCCGTCTTTGTTCCACTTGACCACGGTGGCTGGTGGCTCTGCGTCCACGGGGCAGCGGATATAGCCATGGATCCCCACGGGCACATAAATGACAGGGGGCATGTTGAGCACGCGGGCGGGGTCTGCGGAGAGTTAGCATGGGTGGGAGAGAAGACAGACACGGGACACAAAGTGAGAAATCCAGGCGGGGGCGAGCCCACGTGCACACCCAGACTGTAGGACCGCTGTGCCCAGCACCTGGAGGCACTCAAAGGCATGCTCCAGGCTACCCCAGCCCATGGCACTCCCCAAATGCTTCTACTCATGGACTTTACCCATTGGGCAAGGGCTCTCCACATCCATCACTCTAAGCCCTTAGACCCTGATCCGTGAAGCCAACATTTGCCTGCCCTTTTCCCACCCCTCCTTATCCCCAAATTTCTCTTGGGCAGCCATCACTTCTGCAGATATGACCCACACTGGCATAATCACAGGGGCCGTTCTTCTCTCTCCACTCTGCTGTCTGTTCAGCCTCCCTAGGCCTCGGTTTCCCCATCTCACTCTGCGGTTGAGATGCAGAATCAGCCCTGGCCACAGAACAGACGAGAGGCTCTCGGGAGACCACAAGAGCACCCCACACCTCCTGCCAGCAGCCTGAGTCACCTCCTCTCAATTCTCCCCAACTTCCCCTGAAGGCTACGGAGCAGAAGGCTACAGAACTAAGGAGGCAGGGAGGATGAATGAGCTGGTATCTTTTAAGCATTTTGAGCTCTTCAGAGAACAGCATTACATAAATACCAGGCCGAGTTATATATTTAGACATAGCTTCCTACTTTTGTATGGTAGAATTTTTTTTTTTCTCCTCCAAGATTTTCAAAGGGTTTATGAATGGGAAATACTCTGAACACTGCTTTTTAGCAGAAATAAAGATCCTCGTCTCACCCACCTGTAAATCTCAACCCCCTGGCTTTTCTTTAAAGGCAGGAAGGAGGTAAAAAAGGACAAGGATGGGTGGGGGGTGCTGGCGCCCGTTGGAGACGGGGGAAACCAAAACATGCCTCCCGACAGACAGACAGCCTGGGGCTGGCAGTCTGGGGCCTTGTTCCAGGTGGGCTTAGCGTCCCACAGACCACCTCTCCCATTGGCTCCCTGGGCCCATCACAGACACTTTCCTGCCCTGATGGCACAGCGTGCACCTAGCCCAAGGGACAGGACACTCCTCTGAGGGGCAGGTCTCCCTCCCTTTGGTCCTTGCCGCTCCACCCAGCTTGTCCTAATTCACTCACGAGCAACTCCTCGACTCGCTGTGGTCTGGTGGGCTAGACCTGTGGCCCTGGGCCTCACGGCTCTGTGAAGCTTGGAACTGGTAACACAGCAGCTAAAAGTCCTTTCAAGCTGTTGCCAGTGGAAGCCAGGAGACGAGGTACAATGTACTCCATCAAGATGAGAAAGCGGTAAGAGTGTGGTGTGGGGGGTCCGACGGGGCTCAGGAGGTCCCTCTGGGCCCTACCACCTTGACCGCTCAATGGCAGCCACATGCAATACCCAGCTCCAGACAGCCACAGATGAGCTGCCTCTGGGGCCACCAACTGCTTCTCTGCTTGTCCTCAGCTCATACACTGACCGAGGGCCAACATCTCCAGACTCTGCCACTCCTCACCCCTGCCCCTCCGGGTGTGAGTAATCCTCCCACGCCAGCCCTGAGTGATGAAGAGTGTCACCTACAGCAACAGCGGGGGCCTTTGTTGCCTGAGTGACAGGGCCATCCACAAATCAAGGGAGACGTGAACCTTCATTACTCATCTTTCCTCTCTCACACACAATGCTCAGCTCGCCAGGGGGCGGGAAAGCAACTGCCCGTGTTCCCACCATTGAAGATTAGCAAACAGAATTATTGTCCTCAACAAAAGCCCACGATTGTTCTGGGTGAGGAGCAGCTCATTCATTTGCATCTCCAGCAACCCCAGAGAAGGGCACCCAGGAAGCCGCATGGGAGCCAGACCAACATGCCCCAGAAGAGGGAGCTCTCGACCCTGCCTGCCGCATCCACGGTGTGTGGCTGGCGGGAAATCTAACCTGTACTGACTCTTGGAGGCGCTCCCTCAGACACTTCAGTCAAGGTGCAGAGGTGCTGGCCAGCGTCCAGCCCAAGGACAACTATTTAGTCAACTGCCCAGAGTGCTTGCTTCTCCTTCAGCTCAACCTAAGTGTAGATCCTGCAGTAACCAGCCTAGCACAGACAGCGATGCCGGCAGGGCTGGGCCTCCCCTCCTGCCCCCTTCTTCTCCCTCACTCCTTCCTCCCCCCACATTCCCCTGAAGGAAGCTTGGTATTTGCTGCCCTCCAGCCTGCAGTCTGCCCAATATGGCCTGCACATTCTGGAGCCCCCACCAACTGGGCTCTCCCGCACCCCGACTCACACTGCACCGTCAGGTACGCCGAGGCGGAGGGGGAGCGCCCCAGACTGTTGCTAGGGACACAGGTGTACTTCCCTGCGTCTTCTGGCTTCACCCGAAAGATGATCAGGGTCCCATCGATCAGGATTCGCACCCTCAGCTTCAGGTCGCTGCAAAGCACACAAAGAACATGGGGGGAGGTGCTGACAGGTAGGACATGGGGGTCCTGCCACAGCAACATAGCAATGGGCCCCTCTCCCAAGACCTCTCCGTGCAGACTCTGGCCTCAGCATGTGGGACCCGCAGTTTGAACCACCTGCCTGTCCCAGCTCCTGGAGCCCAGGGCAGCTGCATGAGCACAGGTTCTGCTCTGAGGCCTTCCCCTGGGACCTGGGCTGGGACCACTGTGAGAGGGTCAGAGGCAGGTGCTCACTTCTGGAAGTAGACGTTCTCGTCCTGCCAGTACCAGGTGTAGGTGAGGTTGCCGGGATACGCCTCTGCCCGGCAGGTGAGCAGAGCGTCCTGGGATATGTTGACAGTGATGTTCTCAGGAGGGGAAACAATGAAAGGCGGCCCTGGGGAGAGCAAGGAATAGACATCACCTCGCCTGCGCAGGGAGGGCAACAGCACCAGCCTCCAGGAAGCTCTGAGTGCCCCGGGAAGGGGCGCTGGGGACAGCATGACCCCGCGGTTGGCATGGAGACGCTTCCACACGCTGTCTCTCGGCACCTGCTCCACCCCACCTGCTACCATGACCCCCAGACCAGCCATCTCTCCCACACACCCCATTCCTGTCCTCCCTGCGCCCAGAGACACACAGGAGGGACAAAGGCCACTCTTAAAATCCAGAGCAAGAAATGATCTTGTCTCTGGAAGAATCAGAGCCTTGGGCTGCTCGCCAGCCAAGTCAGGAGGGCAGCTACGGGTGCAGAGGGACAGGAGCTGCCGTCCAGCAGTCCCTGGTGCTGGCTCCCTCCCAAGGGACGGGCAGTGTCTGTCTAGGCTTTGAGGGACCTCAGGCCCCAGCGATGGCTCAGCACTCAGAGCAGCAGCAGCAGGAGCAGGAGCATGTGGCCACCTCCATCCTCCCCTTGTGTTCCTCCAGTAGGCAGGGCAGAGACAAGCCCTGAACAGACCCTGCCCCTCAGACACTGTACCACCCTGGGCAGTGCCCAGCCTCTCCTGGGGGACTGTGGGGTCCCAGGCAGGATGGACTGGCATCTCTTGGTGCGGACTGCACAGACCTCAGCTCTGCCAAATGCCCTCAGTGTTATTTAACTGTCTGGGCTTGGGCTGGACTCCTATATTTATTGATGCCATCACTAATGGATAGATGACCTGAGGGACGGCTCCTCTCGGAGGTAGGTGGAGGCATGGCAGGGATGCTATCTGGACAGAGGGAGAAACTGGAAACCCAGGCAACACAGTGCCTCCCCCCACACAGTGTCATGCCTGGCCCTGCCCTTTCCCAGGCAGGCCTATGCGGAAACGGTGAGGTTAGGCACATGGCACACAGGAGCCCTGCCTGCATCTCCATGCCACCCCCTGCCGTGCCAGGTATGACCAGAGTAAACACCCTCCATAGCTCAACTGGACCGAGGTCCCCCATGAGAGCCTGAGTACACACTACCTTGGACCAGCAGGTGGGTTGTATGGACAGCCTCCCCCTGGATGCTGTATGCTCGACAGGTGTAGGCGCCTCTGTCCTCCCGACTGACCGATGTCACTGTCAGGCTGCCGTCACTCACCTGGGGGCCAAGGATGGATGGAGCTCAGCACCTGAGCACCCACCCGTGGGCCCTGCCAATGTCTCAGGGACACATGCAACTGGGGATTCAGAGGGCAGGTACTTCCTGACCAGCTGCCCTTGTATGACACAGGCAGGACACCTGCAGCCATGCTGGGCTGTCAGCTTCTCACATCCCCTGTGCCTGTGCACATAGTGTCAGTGGCCAGCCGTAGTGGGAGGTGGCCTTGGAGGGGAGGGAGATGGGGACGAGTGACCGACATGGCCCCAGCCCAGACCCACACTCACCTGGTACTTCCCACTAGCACCTAGGAGCGTCCCCTCCTTTAGCCAGGTGACAATGGGCTTGGGGTTCCCAAAAGCCGTGCAGGTCATGGTAATACTGCCACCTTCCTTGGCCTCGATGTACTGGGGGGGTGTTTCTGTAAAGGTGGGAGGGGCTGCAAAAGACAGCAGGATAGTGAAGGATGGCATCAGCCACGTCGCTGCCTGCAGGCAGTGCCCGCCCTGGTTGTAACCCTCACTGCATCTCCACCAGCATGAGGAGGGCCGAGCGCAGTGGAGATGCATGACATCCACTGCCCTGAATGTTTCAGGGGCAGGAGAGACTCCTACTTCCAGACTCAGCCTGGCTGGGTCCAAATTCCACACTGTCTCCAACTGTGTATCCCCAATAAACTAACGTTCGTGGAGCATCTTCTATAAGAAGGCCGCTGTGCTCAGTATTAGGGACATAACATCAACAAGACAGCTTCCTGGTGGCCTTTCCGGCTCACCTGTTTGCCACCGGCTCCCCAGCCGATCTAATCACCCTTAGTCTTTCTCCTCAGGGCTGTTCCTGATACACAGAAGCCCTTAATTCCAGAACCCCAGTTCAGCCAGGCCCCCAACATTTCCAGGACACCTGCCAGCTGAGCCCTATCCAGGCCTCACACAGATCACAGGCCAAGACTACAAGGAGTCTAACTTTCCCCAGACCCCACAGAGATCATTCACCTTCCTCCCTTTCTGCAGACTCCTCCCTTCCTAAGTCTCTGATTGGGCCAGGTTCTCTTCCCCCCCATATTGGAGATTTGATTAAAACTCCATCCTGTTTGGATAATCGGCTTTTAAGAGACTCATTTGCCTGAGCTGCTTGTAGAAGCAATCTGGTCAATCTTAACCCCTTGGACCATCAGTTCCCCCATCTTCTCGGTCTTCTGAAATGACAAGGAGGCCTCCACTCCACAATGCCAGCCGGAGGCCCACGGCGCCAGGCTGCCACCCAAAGCTCAGAACCAGGTTCAACTGCTAGCCTGCCACTTGAGGTAATCTCCAGGGAGGCTTCACCTAAATCATCCACCCTCCAGAACTGATGTAAGGAATAAATGTTTGTGAAAAGCATCTTATGAAATGCACACATATGTAACATGCCGGTTATTCTGCCATTACTACCACCAGCATGGTCTTCTCCCCAGCAGTCCCTGAGGTGCCAGTGGGGGGCTCTGGGAGGCGTCTCCCTTCCCCTCACTGCAGAGTGTGTCAGGCCCACAGCCTCCCTTCACTGTGCTTTACCCACTGGCATTCCTCGCCTTCCTCCAATGTGCCGAGAACTTCTGCCCTCAGGGCCTCTGCTCTTGCTCTTCTTCCTGCCTGGAACTCCATACCTGGACCTCACTTCTTTAATTCATGGAAGTCTTTGCTAAAACACCGCCTGGTCAGCTCATCCATCTAAAACAGCACGCCAGGGCAGGGCGGAGGCTCACAACTGTAATCCCAGCACTCTGGGAGGCCAAGGCAGGAGGATCATTTAAGCTCAGGAGTTCAGGCTCGGCACCAGTGGCTCAAGTGGCTAAGGCACCAGCCACATACACCTAAGGTGGCGAGTTCGAATCCAGCCTGGCCCACCAAAAACAACAATGACGGCTGCAACCAAAAAATAGCCAGGCATTGTGGTGGGCGCCTGTGGTCCCAGCTACTTGGGAGGCTGAGGCAGGAGACTCGCTTGAACCCAGGAGTTGGAGGTTGCTGTGAGCTTTGATGCCACAGCACTCTACCCAGGGGGACAACTTGAGGCTCTGTCTCAAAAAAAAAAAGTTCAGAAGTTTGAGACCAGCCTGAGAAAGAGTGAGACCCTGTCTCCACTCAAAATAGAAAAATTAGCCGGGCATCACAGCAGGTGCCTATAGGCTGCAGCGGGAAGATTGCTTGAACCCAGGAGTTAGAGGTTGCTATAACCTATGACGCCAAGGCACTGTGGCCTGGGCAACAGAGCGAGACTGTCTCTAAAAAATAAAACAGCATTCCATCATTCTCTATTTCCTTGCACTGGTTTATTCTCCTCTCTCTCCCTCTCTCTCTCTCTCTCTCTCTCTCTCACACCCTTCCTATCCACCCTTCTCCTAGCAAAGCCCAAACAAAGATACACAGGAGAGACTTGCTCTGCTCTTTTTAAGTCCAGAGCAAGGAATGATTTTGTCTCTGGAGGAATCTTACTGCTCGCCAGCCAGAACTTAGGAGGGGAGCTGGGCGTGCAGAGGCAGGGTGAGGGGCAGAGGGTACATTCCAGTAGTCCCTGGGGCTCAAAAATATATATTTGCTGACTTGCATCTTATCTGTCTCCTTTTTTTTGAGACAGAGCCTCAAGCTATCCCCCTGGGTAGAGTGCCATGGCATCACAGCTCACAGCAACCTCCAACTCCTGGGCTCAAGCGAGTCTCCTGCCTCAGCCTCCCAAGTAGCTGGGACCACAGGTGCCCGCCACAACGCCTGGCTATTTTTTTTTTGGTTGCAGCCATCATTGTTGTTTGGCGGCCCGGGCTGGATTCGAACCCGCCACCTTAGGTGTATGTGGCTGGCGCCTTAGCCACTTGAGCCACAGGCCCCGAGCCTTATCTGTCTCCTTTATAACAATGGTGGTTCCTCGGCGGCAGACCCCTTCTGTATGTCCAGTTTTCAGCACAGTTCCCAGAGGCAGCAGCGTGTTCAACAGATATTTGTCAAGTGAACAGATGAATGAAACAAATGAATCGATGAAGGTGTGCACGCACATCCACACCCCCAGGCCAACATAAATGCAAACACAAAGAACATGGTCCTTAAGAACATGACCACCTTCATGTACGACCCCCTAAACCCATAGCCCAGCGTGGGCACACAATGGGCTTGTGACAAGGGACCTGAGAATTAAAGAGCACACTTCATCATCTACAAAAATACAGACAACACGCCTTCCCGAGAAAATCAATTCTTGTCCAATATCTAAGAATATAGTAAGAGTAGTGGCAAAAAGTCTTTCTACGTCCTTGTACAGGGCTCCTGGGATCCTCCCACTGGGAGACTCATAGCATCTCCAAGACAGTTCCTCCTTCCCCCACCGGTCCCCTGAAATACAGTTAACACAGCCATGGCCCCGATTACCTCTGGTGTCAAGCTTAAAAGAAAAGATACTAAATTAAATTTACATCCTGAAGTGACAAATTACTTACTAATTACATAATTACTTTATTATTTAGGTGCTAATCAGGAAAGTACTTTGAACAATTTCGAGTTTTCAGGAAAATAATGGTTTGACTCTCAATTATTTACAGAATTAGATGTTAGCTTGCCAGCTGCATCGCCGGGCTTAATTCTTTCTCACGAGTGCCCTATAATTAATAGTGCAGGTTAGGAATAGGCTGGCCTCTCCTCCGTGGAATTCACCAACCTAAAGCAAGCCTCGGCTTGGGCTTTTCCGGTATTTTATACGTGATAAAGAAATAATTGGGTTTGTTTCCACCCAACTGGTCTTCAAAGAGAACACAGAAGGGGAACCGAGGCGATTTGTAATTCTAATTTTTCACTGGCCTTTCACTTTCCAAAGGTGATCCCTGTCAGAAAATGCCGACATTAAACATTCTAGCTGGACGTGGTGGAATGCTGGCGCTCTGATTCTCTCCTTCCATAATGGGAATATTTCTGTGAGAAGGAACCTCAGAACCCATGCAGAAGGGAAGGGAACAGAGAACCCTCTTTCACCTTAGGAGGGGTCTGTTCTGCCCTCCCTGTTTGCAGGTGGGCTCCTGGATTAGGCAAAACCTGTTCAATTATCAGCCTTGGTTCTCTAGCCTACAGCAGACAAGGTATCACCCTCAGCTTCTCTGGCCAACACTTCCTAGGAACAACTTGCCCGAGCTTCCTGAAGCGCCGCTCCATCCTTCCAGGCTTCTGGGCATGCTGTGCCCTCTGCTAGGATTACCCTTCCCACCTCCTACCTCCATCTAACTCCCCAGCCTGGCCAGGTCTCTGAGCAGAAGCCATTTCTCCAGAGAAGCTCTCTCCGGTGCTCTCAAAGCCATATTGCAGCCATCTCCACACTTGACTGTCTCTCAATGTCTCCCTAAGAGCCAGGACTGTGTTGGGCCTCCTGCTGTGTCCTCTCGGCTGGCCACAGAGTGCAACATGCAAACGTATGTTTTGAATAGATAATTATGGATGGATTCACAGGGCCTTTTAGATTACCGAAGCCCTCTGCAAATTCCAGGCCTGACATCCCAGCTACCACTTGGTTTTCCTCTGACTTTATTTTTTCCCCTCTTGAGAAAGAGGATGGCCAACATCTCACACATAATTACCCACATGTAATTAATGTTCCAGACACCAGGCAAGACATTTTCTCACATCACGCTGCACTTAATCCTCGCACCAGCCTTACAAACAGGCATTGTTTTTTTGTAGTGGAGGAAGCTAAACGTTAAAGAGGTAACTTGTCTTTGAAAGTCAATGTCGATGAAACAGGGAACACACAGCAGGTTCACCAAGTAAACCAAATCTTTTCAGGATCTTGCTCCACACTTACACCACTCTAAGCAATTAGGAATTCCCAGTTCACACAAGCTAAGACAGAACCTACGATTCAAACTAAATTCTACCTGCCCGTCCGAGGTGTGTCCATTTTACACCTGGTGTCTCAGACTCCTGAGACAGACACGACCAGCCAGGATGCTGTGAAAGGCACAGGCAGCACCTCCAAAGACTTTCACCCCATTTAAGAAAGAGCACAGGAGAGAGGAAGCAATGTGGGGACTCCTGGCCGGGTGCTCACCCAGAGAAGCTTGTAGCAACGATTTACCTTTCGAATTATGCTTCGCTTGGGTTACTATTCAGATGAGTTTTCATTCCCTGCTCACACAACAGCTGGCATCAAAAGGGGCTGATTCAAAAGCTTGCTGGGTGGAAGGAACAACCCACCCAAGATTTAAAATATACCTCCAATCAGTCTGTTGGGACTGATGGACAGGAGCCAAGTGCATCCACCGTGGAGGATGGGCCAGGCAGCCTGGACCAACACGGATGTGGGGCCACCATCTTGGAGGTCTCTCTTCCTACAGGCCAGTGGTCCTATTCCCCCAGCTTCCCAAACCAGAAGGAGCTCCACTAGGTAAGGAGGGGAGAGCTCCTATTCCCCCCTGGTTCCCAAACCAGAAGGAGCTCCACTAGGTAAGGAGGGGAGAGCTACCCCTCAGGGGAGACCCGTGTTGAGACCTTCCAAGCTGGATGGAGACCAATTTCTCTCCTCCAGCCACAGCATCTCCAGTCTCAGACATCAGAGCCGTGAGGAGCTAAGTGCAGGTGGCACATGCAAGTTGTGGAAGCCTCAGTAACTAGCACGGTGTCTGCAGCCCAGCCGTGGCCGAACACATTTTTTTCATCCACTGCATAAAGAAGGGTCTGGCAAAAAACTGAAGCAAAACAGAATGGAAAACCCTGCCCCCTCCTACTCCGGAGACCACATCCTCTTGTTTTCTCCATGGTTTCAGCCTTCAGGCTCCTCCAGGGTACCGCCTCCCAGGTGAGGACTCCCAAGGAGACCCCAGGGCCCAGCCTCAGTGCCCTCACAGCTGTCCCGAGACTCAGCAGGCTCGCCTGGCCCCTGGCCCTCACCTGGCACTGGAAAAGCATCTGCACAGCACAACTCATTTAGCCTGAGCTATAAATAGCTGATAGCCACTAAAACCATTGCTCCTCCCAGGATCCTCAGACTTTGTTAGCCGGGAAAACCCACAGGGGCGGGGATGGTGTGTGGGTTTGCTTGCCGTTGTCTACCCGTCATCTGGGACAGGGCTGGCCCACGACAGACTCTTAGCACGCTCTCCTCAGAGGGACACACTTAACAGGAAGCCACAACATCAATCTAAGAAAAAACACTAATGGTGGGACTGAGGGGGTTCTGCTGGCTATCGAGGCTGGGACATGATCTCAGTAGGGACCAATTTTGCCCCCCAAAGCCTCCACCCTCCTGATTTCAAGACACAGCTTCCCTCTACAGACCTCTGGCAGCATCACAGGGCACAGAGCCACCCCTCTCATGTACCCATGCCGAGCCCAAGGCCAGGACAGCCAAGAGGGCACCGGCTGACAGCTGACAGCTCATGAGCCAGGGCTCGGGGGAGGGACAGGGTTCAGGAGAGAGCTTTCCCCAGAACAGTCCTCAGAGGCAGCCTTCCTGGCCCCGACCCCCATGAGGCGGCCCATACGCACCATTGATAGTGAGGTGGACCCAGCTCCCGTTGTGGAAGGTGTCATACTGCTGGTCCAGCATGAGCACTTTGCACTCGTACCAGCCCTGGTCCTCGGAGCGAACCTGCTCCAGCCGCAAGGATGCCTTATCGTGGAGACTGGCCCGGCCTGGGGGAACAGAGTGGACAAAAGCCTCAGAGGCCATCAGGGCAAGGCCAGCAGCTCCCCATCCCTACCCCAGCCAAAGGCAGGGGATCGGTCATAACCTTCACACCATTTCCCACGGCAGGGCCCCAGAATAATGGCTGGCACCCACCTCCGGCAGCAGGTGGCAAAGGAAAAGGCAGTAGGCCTTGGCCAGGGAGCCGCTCACCCTCCCCAACTGGCCTCGCCCCAGTCACCAACAGCAACTCAGTGTGTTTGGCACTGAGGACAGCCTCAGTTCCTTAGATACTCCCATTCTTTCTGGATCTCCTGGGACAAAGGTAAGGTGTGATGGCTACAGAGCTAAGAAGAGACAGAACAGAGAGGGCAGGACAGAGGATGCAAACCAAAGAGGATGGGGCCTCGGTGGGCCCTGGAGCACCATCCCTGTCCCAGAGCCTCACCCGGCATCCTTCTCTGCAAGGCAGAGGGAAGGCAGGCTGGGGACCCAGAGCTAGAGTCCCCTCTCAGTCCTGTTGCTGGTGCCAGAGAAACAACATGTGCTATCAAAGGCCAGCAACTCTAGCTGCTGAGGGCAAAGAGGCCGGAGCCACCCTTCCCTAACGCCATCCTCACCCCATTAGGGCGCTCTCTCTCTCTCTCTGCAAGAAGGTCATCAGAAATACAGTAGGAGCCCCTTCCTCCATGGCAGTGGGGTGGAGCCGCCCTCAGGGTCAGCCCCCCACCTTACCCACCTTCAGCTCAAGCCAATTATCATGCCCTCCTCTGCTTTCCTCCTAGTCTCGACACTGGCAGTCTGCCTCAAACGCAGACTGTCAAAACCAACCATGGCCAAAAAGACAGCAAGAGACCCAGGCACAGGAGAGGAAGCAAAACGGAAATGGAAGTATTCTGAGAGAAAGGCAATTCCGACTCAAGCTACGAGTGAGGATAAAAGTAAAGGGTTGCCGGCTTGGCACCGGTAGCTCAGTGGGTAGGGAGCCAGCCACATACACCAGGGCTGGAGGGATCTATCCTGGCCCGGGCCTGCTAAACAACA